GTTGAAATGTTCCATCAAAGAAAGCCCTACATTTTTAAAGAGACAAATATCCATGAATGCTGTTTAACAGTAGGTTGAGGACAAAGAAAATTCTATTGACAGCTCTATATTAGAACGCTTATGGGAGCATATTCCTAAAAACTCAACCTGTAAACCATCCACATGTCCATTAATGGCAGAAGAGATAAACTGTGATATAGTCACACCATAGAATATTATACAGCAATGGGAATGAATGATCTACTATTCATTACACATAATAATATGGGTGAATCTTACAATGATGAATTAAAGAAGTTAATACATAAGAGTGCTTATTGTAGGTACAATTTATGTATAATAGAAGTCAGGGGAAAAGGTCAGAATGGTGGTCACTCCTGGGAGTGTGAGAGGCAACTGAAAGGAAGCAGAAAGGGGTTCCTGGGGTGCTGGCCATGCTCTGTGCCTCAATCAGCCATCTGCACACAAGCGGACTTGCGCACCGCCTGTAGACATATTATACTTCAATGAAACATAAGGAAATTCAGGGGCTGCTGTGTGCTGAGTATTTTTCATTTACGTCATGTCCTTCGCTTGACACATTGGTTGTTTCCCTTTTATGCAGGAGTCTTTGAAAAGCAAGGGCTTCCTGTATGTCCTCAACTGGACATGGACATGATATACAGCAAATGGTTATTAAGGGTGAAAACTTTGAAAGGTTTTCCTCTCTTCTCCAGAGTCTGGAGAGGCGAAAGGGCTATTAAAACAAAGCAACACTAAGTAGATTTCTGGCTTGCTGCCACATTTTCCAGTTTACCCACTAAGAAAGCATATGTTGCTATTGGCTTGACAAGAAGTTCAACTTCTAAGTTCCTGGAAGTAAACAGATGACAGATGTAAAGCAGGTTCTTCTTTTAAAAGGTGACACACTCCTTGTAATAAAATCTGGAAAAAATGTCAAAACAATACAATGATAATGACTGCGATTCATGGGTCCAGGGTGTGAACCTCCACTTCAAGTGTAGGAATACTTCAAAAGAAAAAATTGCACAGGCAAAAGAAACAAAGCCGGAGGTATCACACTTCCAGACCTCAAACTTTACTATAAGCCTATAGTAATCAAAACCACCTGGTATTAGTGTAAGAACAGGCAAACAGACCAATGGAAAAGGATAGAGATTCCAGAAGCAAAGCTTCAATTCCTCAACCAACTCATCTTTGACAAAGCCTCCAACAACAACTACTGGGGAGAGGAGAA